ATTAACATTTGTTCTAAGGAGTATGAGATCTGATAATAATTTCAATAGATTTATCAAACATCTGGTCTTCAGGAGCATTTTGATGCGAAACTATAAAGTCAGTAAATTAGACGAGTCTATTGAATTTTTATTGAATAATAAAATTTATATAACAAATTACAATAGTTGATGGTATGTAAAACTTCACTTCATACAATGTTTCACAAAAAACATGTTAGCATGTGCATGAAATGTTACTTGAATTTCATCCATGTTCTTTATTTAGCCCAATTCAAAACAAGTTCCTTTTCACGCATTTACTAAAATTCATTGAAATTTGGAAGAAAAGTGGGTCTTTTATTATTTTATTACATGTATTTTATTATACATAGTTATTAAAGTGCATGGAAGGTAACATATTTAATAAATATTAGACATGATATTGTTTTAATATAATTTATAATAATGATACAACCCAAAAGGAAATCTGTGAAAATTATGAGAATTTAACATATTTTTAAGCCAACAGAGCTTTTATTAAAATGTGCTGAATAGATAACTAGAGCTATCTTCTTGTTATTATTCTATGTGCAAGTCTCTTGAGGACATGGACAATCAAGGCTCTCCACAATTTCCTATCCTCTGTAGATCTTACTAAAGAAAGTCTTTTTGCTATCTTTCCTAATCTCAGTTCTGCTAACAATTTACATAAGCTCATTAAATTGGTTATGCACTTCTTTCCTTTTACTTTTTCTAAGCCCTCTTTCCTCATTATATGTGCTACAAACCTCATCTGTCTTGTTCTTATGTTATGTATAAGTGTCCTTTTTGTCTTAAATTTTCTCTAAAACTTTATCATTGCTCACAGGTTCAGTTCATTTTTCTGTGGTTTCATTACTAGTTCCTAGTTCAAATTTGCCAAATGTTTCACCATCTCTATCTTTCCCCAATTTGATGATTGTAATTTCCTGAACTAGAGCTATAACAATTAATAAATCAACAAAAATTCAATGGACTTATCTTCTTGACCAACCTCAGAAACTCTAACAGGGTAAGAATTTCAAATTTGAAAGTTATAAATATAATTTGTTCTGAGGAGTATAAATATGAGTCCTGATAATGATTTCAATAAATTTATTGAACACCTGTCTCTGATGAGCATTTTGACATGAAACTCTGAAGTTGGTCAAGAAGATAGGTTTATTGGACTAATAAAAGTATCAAATAATGATGTATCAAATAATATAATTTATGTAACAAATTACAATATTTAATGGCATTGAATAAAACTTGAATTCGTATGACATCTCAACAGAAAAAATTATTTGATTGTTCACCAAATGTTACTGCAGCTTCATAAATGTTTCCTATTTTGAAACAAGTTTCTTTTCATGCTTTTATTATAAAGTTATGAAATTCTAATATTAGCAGAAAAAAATTATGTCTTATATATACACCACAAAATATGGAAAGCTAAGCACAAATCTGTAGCCATTCTTCTGCACCTTCCACTCTGACTTTTATCCCATTGTCATTGTTTTACTGCCTCATAAAGACTAGTTATTTTACTTTTTTTTAGTAATTTCATGGTAAAATGTGTAAAAGAAATATCAACAATGCTTGCAAAATTCAAAAAGCAAGCAGAGAAAGAACGAAAAGAATAATTTTTATTATCGCTTATTTCTTAAATTGTGCTGATGCATAAATTAAAGAATAATAAATTTGGAAATCATACTTTCATGAATGTGCAAGTGGTGTAGGATTTATCAGAATAGACAATTTATACTAATAACCTTGGGAAAGGCATGAATCCATCTCTCCCCCACAACTTATGAGATATCAGAACAGACAGAACTCCCTGTCTTTGATTGGTAACCAGTTTAGAAGAACAACTTTAAATTAAAAACTGAGAAAAAGGCAATGGGAAACCACTCCACTATCTTCCCCAAGAATAATCCTGGCAATACCCAGTTTGCAAACATTTAAAGAAAAAGAATATGTGAAGGGCCATGATTGTCTACATCACGAAGAGATGTTTTATATCAGAAAAATTAAAGTTATTATTGAAATAATAATAATTGTAACTGATCTCTGTTAAAGATCTAACATTTTGTTGTTACTATTGTTTGGACAATTAGTTATTGGAGAGTGGTTTGTCCAAGGTTTTACTCACCCACTTCTTTCTAGCATACTGACAATGGGATTTTTTCATCGAGATATCTAGCAATGAGATAGAGTACAGGGAGAAGTGGATTCATGCTTTTTCAATCTCTGTATGTGTCGTTGCCTTTAAGTGATTATAGCTCTCCACAGCTTCCTGTATTTTGATGCTCAAAATAATTACTGCTCTTTTATGACCCCTCTGTACCTGTTCAGTTAACAATTTACTCAAACTTGTCAAGTAGCTTAGTCACTTTCTTTTGCTTGCCTCTCTTGCCTCCAATGTGACCTATGAGTTTTAAATTCTCCAAGCATTCTTTCCTCATTATGCATATCCAAAATTTCATTTATCTGTTCATTATTTGCAGCAGTTTCTTTGTTGTTCCTATTCACCTTAAAACATTTCTTTCTCATATACTCAGACCGTTGCAATCTCAACATAAGTTGGTAGAACCACACTACAGAAAATTTAATTCTGTATGGCCATGTTTCATTGTTGGTTTGCAAGATCATAACTGGGAGTACTTCTGGAAAGCTCTTTGTCCTCTTCCTTATTATGATTTTCTGAGGAACTTATTTGATATTCATGAGTTACTATTCTTTTCCAAGTTTTTGCTATAATAGACATATTATTGCTTCTTAAAAAACTTTAAAAATTAAATAAAAACTCAAAAGATATTCCTTGTCTAGGTCAGTGCTTTTTATGAATTATGTATAAAAGAAGGATTGCTGCCCCCATATTTATATATATATATATATATATATATATATATATATATATAAGGTTAATGGTCAGGGTTGAATTGGACCAGGTAATGGTAGTATTAAAAAGTGCTCAATACATGTGTGAAAGAATAAAATGAAAAATAATATGTAGATCTTTTAACTTTAATAATTTTTTTTAAAGTTTTTAAAGTATATATATATATATATATATATATATATATATATATTAGGAAAATCTATGGCAAAGTGAAAAAAGTTTTTATGTGATGCATTTCGTCCTTTAGGACATCATTGAACTAAGGTGATCTTTATATTGATGCCAGTACATATATGCAGGAAGAAGAGAGTACACTGAAATTTTAAATTTAAATTAATTTTTTAATTGTTTTTTTGTGTATATTGTCTAGCCAATTTAACTTAGTTTCTTTTTCTTTATGCTTTTATCACTTTTGTTATTAAATATCACACATTGTAATAACAGAAGATCTGCCAAGAACGGTGATGCATCACATGAAAACTTTTTCTACTTTGTCATAGATTTTCATATCAATTGTTCTTAAAAAATGTATGCATCATTTTCCCATATATATATATATATATATATATATATTTGCTTGTATTAATAAAACAGTGCTCACACACACACACACACATATATATATATATATATATATATATATATATATATATATATTGTGGTGAACAGTCCCATAGAAGCAAGCGAGCCAGAGTGGCTTGCATCTGGTGCAATGGAAAATAAGAATCTTTTTCAATGTTTGGCACGTGTCATCGGCAATTTTGCTCCTTGAAAATGGCATTACTCTCCTGTTTAGCCATTCCAGCAGTATGTGCGCTAACAAGAGTTTTTGTACAGTTTAGCATGCTTTGACCAATAGCAAGTCGTGTGCTGATTGGTCAAACTGGAGGAGGCTATTTATCTGGGTAACTGAGAATAAAAGTGAAGAACACTTATTGGTTGGTCCACCACAGTGTCGGCCTTATAAAAGGGGGCTGAAGCAGTGGGAAGGAGAAAAAAAAAAAATGGGTTTACGTTTTGAAGTGTGCAGAAAGCAAGAATGGCAGATTGAACTAGCGGTATTTTTGAATTGTACGAAATACGTCCAAGTAATAGACTCATTTAAGCTACATATATATATATATATATATATATATATATATATATATATATATATGGCAGTTTCAGCTATCTTTATTTCGGCAATAATTTTGGATTTTATAAAATTTAATTCATGCTCATGTCTTTTTTATTTTTGTTTTTAAATATCTTAATTTAAAAGCATACTTTTACCTCACATGTTAATACTCTTAGGAGGAAAAGTATGACTCCATCTCTTCTCTTCCTCCCTGCTATGGATAAATACCAGGACAAATTGAATCTTATAGTTTCAGGTGGCAAATTGTTTAGGTGAAGGAAAACTGAATTATAAACCTGAGGGCCTAGTGTATAGAACCAGGGTGACCCATACCATATTCTATGGTCTTTAGTTGTCAGTCAAGATCTTGGATGGGAGATGAGTGCTGCTAAGTTATCTGAAAGCACATTGAAAGGATCATGAGTAAGAAGAGTCAAAGTCTGTTTCTTCTGCTCTTAGGTGTCTCTGCCTCGAACAGTTGAGGGTCTGATGATGCTTATGAATTAATATCTATCTATCTATCTATCTATCTATATATATATATATATATATATATATATATATATATATATATATATATATATTAGATAGATATAGATTCTTATTTTTAAATATCTTAATTTAACATTTTTGAATATTTTTTTCATTCTTTGTTGCCACTTCTGGTTTTATCTCTTGTAAATCTGTCCTCAGCATACATATGTCCAAACATGTTTATTGCAAAAACTATATAAATAAAAAATAGGTAATGTGGTATCAAGATCTATTAAATATTCTTTCAGTTCTATGATGTTAAATTGCTGTCATGTGAAATCCTGTAATAAAGAACCTTACATTGTCTTGAATTAAATCTCAAAGCTAATAATAATTCTATATAAGAAGGGTTTGGTGAAACTTAATAGTTTTCTTCATTCAGTTTCATATAAAGATTAATAATGCATCAAGGATATTTACTTTTTCCTTACAAGATTCTAGACTTGTATGCTTAAGGCATTGTGTAATTCTATTTGGTAAATACAGTCTCCTTTTTTATTCCCTTTGTCAGCATATATGCAGTCATTGGTCCATAACATTCTATCTTAACATTGAATACTGGCAACATGGCTTCTGGTTAGTATTAATAAAAAGATCCAGCAATCTTATTGGGTTAGCTGGATCATGTGATTTCTATAGCTCAGAAAAGTCGGTGAATAGAAGGGATCAATAGAAAGATAGTTCATCATTTGCTTTTTCTCATTTTTCTTTTCTTTTCTTTTTGTCATTGTTTTCTCATTCTTTTTCATTAGTGCTCTCTCTATCATTATTTTTCTTTCTCTCTCTCTCTCTCCTTTGCTTCCAGTCTCTCTTCTCATAGATCTTTCAGTCATTCTCTGTCATTAGTTCTCTCTCCATCATTATTTCTCTTTCTCCTTTGCTCTGATTCTCTCTCTCTCTAGATCTGTCAGTCTCTCTTTCAGTCATTCTTTCTCTTTCTGTCACTAGTTTTTCTCATTCACTTTCCTTTTTCTCAATGTCTCTTTTGTGAATTCTGTCATTCTCTCTCACAGTCTTTCTGCTATTCATTCTCTCTTTTTTTTGCCATGAGGGCTCTCTCTCTCTCTCTGTGCCTCTCAGCTAATAATTCTGTTTCTGCATCTCTTTCAATGTCGCTGTCATTCACTTTTTCTCTCTTTCTGAGTCTCTTTATCATTAGCTCTCTCTGTCAGTCTCTCATTTGACCATTCTCTTTCTGTTTCTCTGTCATTTGTTTTCACTCTCTGTCTTTGTGTGTCTCTTATTAGTTCTTTCACTCCTTCTTTTTCTTTGCTGTTCACTGTTATTCACTTTCTAACACTCTATCATTAGATCTCTCTGTCAGTCTCTCTTTTGGTAATTTTATCTCTCAATATCTGTTATTAGTACTTTCACTCCCTCTCTATCTCTCTCTGTCATTAATTCTCATTCTTTCTTTCTCTGTCATATTCCTCTCTGTCATTAGTTCTCTCCATCATCAGTTCTTTCTCTTCAACTGTTCTGTTTCTCTCACTTTTAATAATCTTCTGTTTGTCTTTCTTGCCATTTTCATTAAGTGCAGTTTTTGTTGCAATTGTTGTATCTGCTTTTCTAAACTGTCTCCCTCACCCAATTTTTGGTTTATTTCTTCTTAGACATTTCAAATCGAAAGAAAGACAAGTAAAAGAGCATTCTGTGTTCTTGGAGATCTCCCTGCTTATTTCTCTATAAACATTCTGCTTCACTGATCAAACGACCAATCTGTTTGAACAGAATTTGTTAAATCTAGTTCTTCATCTTTTTACCACTCCTGCCTCCACCCTATGACACACCCTCTTCTCCCTGCAACTTCTACTGTGTCAATCTTGCTGCAGAACTTCATATCGACTCCTCTTCATTTCAATATGCCCAAACCCCACTATGCTGTACACTTTCCCACCCCAATTTCTTGCTTGCACGCCTGTCAAGTTGTTCCCTAAAACAATTCCCTCCCAGTTGCTTGCAGTTTTGAAGCTTGGGTTTGTCTTTCAAGGGAGGTGGTTGTGTGTGTGCATGCATCTTACTTCGAGTCGAGTGATAATTGGTCATCTGAGCGTACGAATTGGCCTTTATCATTCTCATCAGTTACAAACCTTCAAAGATTTTCACTTTGGAATAGTGACAAAAATTAGGCCACGCTGTCTGACTTTCATGCAAGGAGATGCCCTGCAGTCAAAGGGGTTGAATGTTATTGTCCAACAACAGCAGAAGTTTCAGTGGATAATGTCAGGCATTTATCACAAACCAGTATTTGAATATTCAAACTCTGGTGGTATCATGCATCTGGACTTTGGCACTGAGAAATTTCCTGGTTATTCTGTTTACAACATTGTTGGAAATTTCAATAAAGAGTACTAAAATTTTGATACTCTTTTGTGCAATACCAAACTTAGCCAATAAGAAATAACCTTTTATAATTTTATTACTAGTTTTACTCTATCTAATTTTTTATCCCAGTTATCTTCAATGTATAAGGGTCAAACAATTCAGATCCTAGATCTGGAGACCAAGCCTACCCACACATTTGATTATAGTAGTGAAGGCATATACAGTACCATCTGCACTGTTTGGTAGAACTGAATACAGGAGCACATAGTGTGCACTGCCCTCCCCCAAGCCCTTTTCAAGTTTTGAATTTAGAATTGTCCTTCTTAGAGATTGGTTGCCAACCAAGTCTGAAGAGCTCAATCTACTTTACTATTTAACCCATAGCTTGGTGGGAGAGAAGAAATGGATTCATACCTTTCCCAAGGGTATCTGTGCATAAGTGAATGTAATGAACTCAACTGAAATTTGAGCTTGACTTGCCATTTTCTTATTTTGAGCTGTTTGTCATTATAGCCTTTATAACAAAGAGAAAAGTTAGAAGTCCAGTTGTTATATTTTACTTCTAGTTTAGTTTATTATTTAGGAACTGTTCAAAATAGATAAGAAAATACAAAATTTTTGATATTTCAGAAGGATAAGGCAATTACAAAATTACTTAAATATGTTGACATTTTTGATGACACTAGTAAACTACTCCTAATAATCTCAAATTTAAATGTGGATGGTAGATATGTACCATCAAAAATAGTACTGACGAGGAAGCAGAGAGAGTGGAATGCCACTTGACATGAAAATCTTACATTATTCAATTAATAGAATTCAACTGATGTTTGTTACAATTACAAAAAAAAATCTGATGACATTCTTTTAGCTTGCTTTCCTCCTCCTCTTCATCTATTATGTCAGTTCTTAAAAATCAGTTTTGATAAATGGTAATATTAGCCATTTCCTTAAATGGAAACATTTGGCATTTATTAATTGAGCAGCCAGTACTGCTTTCAGTTGAAATTTATAAAGTCTTTCTCTTAAAACAATTTTTCAGGAAAATAAGTTTCTTAAGTAGCTATTATCACTCTTTCCAATATTGATGGGATTTTTCTTGCTAACCTTTTATTTGAAGTAATGTGGAATGTTAACATCTTGATTATGCCATTATTTTCTCTTTGAGTTACATGTGCTATCCATTTTAGTTGTTGCTGCTGTTGGAAGTCCTCAAGTGATGTGGTTTCTATTATCTGGTACAGCTCTTTGATTGAGATTCTTTAGCACCAGTCCACAATGTTCAAAGTCATTTGCTCAAAGCCTTTTTTAATCTTTGATCTTAAAATTAATATGTATCCAGCTGATAGTTTATATATTTCTGGACAGGTTTGGTACCATGAATGATATCAATATGAAAGTTTTGATTTGATGAGGCTATTTAAGAACATGACTTGAGTTTTCAGGTTGATGTTTTGGTTTTGTAGCAATTTGTGGTGTTGGGTGAAACTATCCTTAGTGCAGCCTATTCTATTTTCAATTTTCTTATCTTGTTTACTAAATTTTTTATAATTTATCCATATGCTGAGATATTTGAAGTGTTTAGTATTTACTTATTCCATATCCTGGATTTTTGTTTTTTTTAATAAAAAGTTCTTTGTTGAGTGATGCTTTAAGTTGATCAGTAATCATATTAAATATATTAAGTTCTAAAAAGAAAATGATTCAAGCATTTTGTCTGTGTGTTTTTGTTTTGTTTTGTTTTTTTTTGTTATATAACACTCAATCGAGCTTATTGAATTGTTGATAGCAAGACCAAATTTCTCTAATAAGATTAATGAACAAGCAAGTTTATACAATGGAACGTCATGTTCATTGTATCAAAGCAATAGACATTCATCACTCAAGAATATTTTTCCTTCTGGAAAAAGAAACCTGACTGAAGTCTTCTGTGACTTTGATGAAAAGATGTCATCATGTTCTTTTAGAATGATTTCCCACCTGCAGATTTCCTTATTTATCTTTTGTCCCATTGTTTGCCTGTCATTGTGGTAGAGAAATAATTTTAATACATTCTCTTGAATCTTCTCTGTCCACAACAGATCAACACATTGTTGAGAAGAAATCTCTTTGCAAATCAAATTTTCTTCTTCTCCAATGTTTTTCTTCTTTTAAGAAATAATTCTGTTTCTTTATTATGCATTTTTAATTTCACCCAATCCTATAATAGGATGTTGTTACATTTGCATATACAGTGTAACCCGGATATAAGAGAGATTGTCTCTGGTCCCAAATTAGAGCCTGTGTTAATGTATATAAAATAGACCAAACCCGGATATAAGAGAAACCCGGATATAAGAGAGATTGTCTCTGGTCCCAAATTAGAGCCTGTGTTAATGTATATAAAATAGACCAAACCCGGATATAAGAGAAACCCGGATATAAGAGAGATTGTCTCTGGTCCCAAATTAGAGCCTGTGTTAATGTATATAAAATAGACCAAACCCGGATATAAGAGAAACCCGGATATAAGAGAGATTGTCTCTGGTCCCAAATTAGAGCCTGTGTTAAGGTATATAAAATAGACCAAACCCAGATATAAGAGAAACCCGGATATAAGAGAGATTTTCTCTGGTCCCAAATTAGAGCCTGTGTTAAGGTATATAAAATAGACCAAACCCGGATATAAGAGAAACCCGGATATAAGAGAGATTGTCTCTGGTCCCAAATTAGAGCCTGTGTTAATGTATATAAAATAGACCAAACCCGGATATAAGAGAAACCCGGATATAAGAGAGATTGTCTCTGGTCCCAAATTAGAGCCTGTGTTAATGTATATAAAATAGACCAAACCCGGATATAAGAGAGATTGTCTCTGGTCCCAAATTAGAGCCTGTGTTAATGTATATAAAATAGACCAAACCCGGATATAAGAGAAACCCGGATATAAGAGAGATTGTCTCTGGTCCCAAATTAGAGCCTGTGTTAATGTATATAAAATAGACCAAACCCGGATATAAGAGAAACCCGGATATAAGAGAGATTTTCTCTGGTCCCAAATTAGAGCCTGTGTTAATGTATATAAAATAGACCAAACCCGGATATAAGAGAAACCCGGATATAAGAGAGATTTTCTCTGGTCCCAAATTAGAGCCTGTGTTAATGTATATAAAATAGACCAAACCCGGATATAAGAGAAACCCGGATATAAGAGATTTTCTCTGGTCCCAAATTAGAGCCTGTGTTAATGTATATAAATAGACCAAACCCGGATATAAGAGAAACCCGGATATAAGAGAGATTGTCTCTGGTCCCAAATTAGAGCCTGTGTTAATGTATATAAAATAGACCAAACCCGGATATAAGAGAAACCCGGATATAAGAGACTTCTTCTCCGGTCCCGACAACTCTCTTGTATCCGGATTACACTGTATATTTAATACATGTATTGGATCAAATATGGATTGGAATCTGACAAAATAATAGGATAAGAAACTAATAAGAAATGTTCATAAGTCGAGCATGTTTCACTTTTATTAATGCTTCATCAGAAAATTAAATAGGAAGAAGAGAAAGAAAATTCTGCTATTTTATAATTTTTGTTTGTTTTTCATTGGTTAAGAAGACTTCATGTGCAACTTTCTTGTCAAGCATCCTAATCCTGCAGAGACAAACTAGAATTATGATATACATGCACACATAAATTATGCACACGAATGCTACTTAACAAGACAGATGCAGGAGGGTCTACTTTACCAATGAAAAACAAACAGCACAAAAATTAAAAACAGTAGAATTTTATTTAAAAATGCTTAGTAGATGTGAGTACACATACACAAAGAAATGTACATTATCATCTTAATCCCGCATAAACAAACTAAAATTAAAAATAGCAGAATTTTCTTTTTCTCCTCTATATTTCATTCTCTGATGAAGCTTTAATAAAAGTGAAACCTGTTAAATTTATAAATGTTTCCTATTTATTCCTTATTCTATCATATTTAATACACTAAATATAACAACGAATTATGGCACTGAGATGGTATTAATTTTGAATTGATTTTTTTTAATTGCTTTTTTTATCATATGGTAAAAACATTTTAGATAGTCTATTCTTCTGCTACTAAATTTGGAATAAAGTAATAACTTTAAATGAAACTTGAGCTTTTATTCTATATCTCAGTTGCTTATCTTTCATAGACAATCACTTTTTTGTTTTAGTTAATTTCCTCCAG